GCTGCGTCCTGAAAACACTCTGAGAGCCAGGGAATTTCCAGGCCTCTGATGCCATGGCTGAGGCTGAGACCCCCCCCAAGCAAGGAAGTGATGTGGGCTCTGTGCTGGGACCACAGAGCTCTCCTGGACTCCTCTGGGAGCAGAGGGAGCCCTGAGCTGGACTGGTCTGTGCTGGGAGCAACCTGTTACACGTCTCCACTCCCTCCACGTGTTCTGATACCTCATAGGGTCTGGGAGACACTTGGCCAGGACGAGAGGTGCTTCCCAACTTGCCCAGCACAGGGACAGTGTTCCAGTTGTGCCAAGGGCGGTGGGGTCATCCACGTGCTCTGCGCCCTGACAAGGTTGCACAGATCACAGATAAGGACTAGAAAGGTGATAAGTGCCAGCATACCTCTCCTTTTCCTGCTTTTTCCTGATGTCACCAGTGCTTTGGGGTTGGAGAGATGGGTAACAGCCCATGGGATGCCTGCAGGGACCAGTTTCCCACACTGCGAGGCACACTGGGGAGAAGTGACCAACCCTGGTGCTGCACAAGTGTGTGGGGAGCTGCCTCTGCCCATATGGGTGCTGGACACAGGGGTACCCCCCAGCACAGGAGCTCCCTTTCTCTTCTTAATGGGAAGAAATCCCCAGGAGGGCAGCCCTAGACCCCACAGTGCCCCAAGCACCCAGCTTGCTCCCAAATAAGGCAGCAAGCTGATGCAGGTTGCTGGTCTCCTCGCCCAAGGGAGGCAGCAGGGCAGTTGTTGGTGGCCTCCTCTGCCTTGCCTCCAGCATTGTCCACTCCTCACTGTGAGGGGTGAGAGTGTAGGCATCTTACTGTAGCTCTGCTCTCTGTAATGGCTTAGGTTGGAAGGGACCTTAGAGATCATCTAATCCAACCTCCCAGTCATAGGCAGGGACACCTCTCAAGTAGACCAGGTTGCTCAAGGCCTCATCCAACCTGGCCTTGAACATCTCCAGGGAGGGCACATCCACAACCTCTCTGGGCAATCTTTCAGAGTCTTGCCACCCTCGCACTGAAGAATTTCCTCCTAAGATCCAATCTCCTTCAATTTAAATCCATTTCCCCTTGTCCTATCACTGGACATTATTGTAAAAATTGCCTCCCCAGCCTTCCTGTATGTTCCCTTCAGGTATTGGAAGGCAGCTATTAGGTCCCCCTGGAGTCTTGTCTTCTCCAGGCTGAACAATCCCAGCTCCCTCAGCCTGTCTTCATAGCAGAGGTGCTCCAGCCCATTGCCCTTGATAACTGTTTATGAGGGTCCTTATCAGGAACTGGTGAAAAGGCCCCACTACCTGGGAAGGGGCTTGGTCCCCACTGCATCAAATAGACCCCAGTGGGGCTCTGCATCCTATCAGGGCTCCCAGGACACAGCTGACATGGGCAGCAGGACCAGGGGTAGTGGGGGAACTGGAGGCCAGGGTAGGCATAGCGGAGCTGTGAGTGGTGTGGTGGTGAAGCTGCGGATGGGATGGCATATGTGGCTTCTTGCTGGTGAGGGCTGCCTGGGGTGCTAGAGAGGTGCCAGGGCTTTGCTCTTCTGAGAAGGGTCTTGGGGCAGGGCAAGAGACAGTGGCTTTGGATGCTTCAAGGGAAATTTTGATTAAATAGTAAGGAAAATATTTTCAAAATGGGAACATTTCAAGTTTTGGAACACCTTGCCCAAAGCAGTTGTGAAACTTCCATACTTCGTGTCTTCAAGGCTATGCCCTGGTGGTCACATGAAAATACAGAGGTCCTTGGAGCAAGACCATTGCTACACCAGCAATGTTGCTCAGAGCTTGCTGGAGCCACTTGGCCATGTCTTCAGGTGGCCTTTGCCACCACAGGGATTACCTGTGGGGTCCTGTTCAGCTCCCCTGGGTCCACTTGTCTATAGACTTCATCTAGCTAGCCATGCCCAACCTGTTCAGCTGCACAGGGTCATGCCATCCTGCCTGTGGGATTTCATATCTTGTCTGTGTTAAGCCTCAAGAGGTTCCCATCAGCCCATTCCTCTAGCTGGTTGAGGTCCCCTCTTGTCCTTGGCTCTTCGCAATTTGGTATTAGCACCAATGTATGGTGGGCTGTGCTAATTCTCCCAGTCCCGTTTCCGGTCTGACCCTTGCAGATCCCAGCCCTACAGATGTGTTCAGCTGTTTGGGGAGGTGCCTTGTGCCTGTGGACAGGGACTGGGGCTCAGGGGGCTGGGATGTGGGGTCACGCCGAGCCTCTTCTCACCTGTATGAGGTGGGTGACCTGCCTCAGGAACAAAGCATGAAGTGGGGTAGAAAAATACATTGAGTTCTTAGTTTCCCTAATAGTTTGGCCTCCCTCCAGGGTCCCTGCCTGGGCAACAAACAGGCAAGAAACAACACCTGACCCTCTGAGAGCAGGTAGTGGCAGGTTGTGAGACTGGGCAGGAAACAGGAGACCACAAACTCCTCTAGCCCTGATGGAAGCTGTGTGTCTGGCGTGCCCCCCATCTGGCACCCCACGCAGTGACAGGCAGCTGGGAACAAGACAGGACGCAACTGTAAAGGGGGGCTCATGGCTTACAGGAATCCCCCCACCCTCCCGCTTCTCCATCACCCAGCCCTCTGCTGGCTCTTGGGCTGCCTGCCAGGCTGGCCGAAAATGAAAGCAAAGCATCCAGAGATAAATAACAGTAGCCGAGGCACAAGGCAGCAGTGCGCGTCCTACTCTCCAGACTCGAGACTTGCTCTGCTCCAGCACCCATGGCACCCACCATGGCTCTGCGCCTCCTCCTGCCGCTGCTCCTGCTAGCTGCCACCCTCCTCATCACCCAGGCTCAAGGTGAGGGACCCGAAGCTTGTGCTAGGATGGGGTAGGGGATATGGGTTCTCGGTGGGGTCTGTGCAAGGTGCTGGTCGGTGCGGTCACAGTGCACAGGAGATGTTCACCATGCATCGGGGGTGTGCGTGGGGTTTACAGTCATGTGCAGGGTGTGTGTGTGTGTCTCTGTGTGTGCACATGTGGTTCTTGTGTGGCATCAGCTTGCAGTTCTTGCTCGGCTTGGGAGGATGAGTGTGTATGCATGTGGCTGGTGGGTCAGCAGCACCCCAAGCTGAAAAGTGTGTGCAGGGGAAGAAGGTTCAGTCCCTTCACAGGGCTCTCACCTCTGCCTCAGTTCCCCTTTGCCAGCAGTGAAACTGGTGTCACATATACCCAAAGGCAGCATCTGACTCATAACTTGGCACTGGGGATAAGTGCTCCCACCCTCACCTGCTGTCCCAGCACTTCTGCACGAATGACACCAAGCAAGCCCTGTGATATTAGCTGGGGCTGGGGACACTCTGGCTTGGTGAGGGTCTGAAATCCCACGTCTCCTCCTTTCTTCCAGGCATCGGCAGCTCAGCCTCAGACTGCTGCCTGAAGAACAGCCGGAAAGCCATCCCCAGCACCTGGGTGAAGTCCTACAGGCTCCAGGGACCTGAGTCAGGATGTTTGCTGCACGCTGTCGTGTAAGTACCCCACTGCTGTAGGGACCATCCAAAGCATTTTGGTGCCAGCCAAACCCTTCCCTCTCTGCGTCCTCCTCCAGCAAACCTTTCTGCTTGCACCCCCAGGCTCACCACTAAGAGGAACAAGAAAATCTGCGCCTCTCCCGCTGACCCTGAGGTCCAGAAGTTGATGCAGCACCTGGACAAGAAGGCCAAGAATGACAAGGGACAGTCCCCACGTCCCAGAAGCAGACCCAGGCGGCAGAAGC